AATGCAGAGATATTCTTGTCTGAACAATGTTTGAATAAATACTACAATATTTTTCAACTTTGTATCGGCTTTAGCATCTGCCCTTTGGCTTGTATTATGTCTGAGTCAACGGCTTTTCTGTTCACTTGTTAAGTGCAGAGAAATACGCCCAACTTATTATTATCTGACTGTTTGCTAGAGATGATGGAAATGATGGAAAAGAATAGGCATATTATGTGAGTTTTGAGCGAACAGGTTTTCTGTTCTTTATTAAGAAACACAAAACTATTGTCTATGTTAACTAACTGCACACCACAGACATAGCATATAGATATTTAGAGCGCTGGAAAGTTTCTTTAAAGCAGAAACTGATGAACAATTTCTGAATGAAAGAAACACTTCAGTATTTTTAAAGCTGCAAGATAAATAATTTTGTTATCACAACATGATTTTCAGCGATAAACAAAACGCTAAGGGCTGCGATGAGAGATCAAAATACCTCATACACGCAGCGTCAGAGAGACGTCATTACATTGCCAACACAAACCGTCAGAAGCCTAATGAGTTCTCCCCTGCGCTGGAACCCTGCTCTCCCATGTGGGGGAAGAGTAACTTAACCATTAGGCTATACAGCCAACAACAAAACATACACATCCACAGCTCAAAAACTATATAAAACATTTGTACTGTGTTTAAAGTGTGTGAGATACAATTGGCTACTGTCACAACAAACATATCGTCGCTGTCCAAAGAAGAACAAGTACCTCCAAAATAGTAAGTTTACAGGAGAGACCAAAAACACTCTTACCTTTTAATGTAAGTTAATGCAAAGAGATTTTATGCCAACTGATTTTGGAGCATTTCTATTTGTCCGTTCATCAAGAAACTTTCACACAATGTAAAGGACAGCTGATGTGTTGAAATGATGTAGAAAAATAAAAATCGACAAAAATGGAGACACATGGACAGCAACAATATTTAATGACTAAACAAAAGAAAAATCTAAAATATTTAATTGTTCCAGTGTGCCTATATAAAATATAAAAATAAACATACATATTTACTTGTTTTCGTAGCCTTTATAGAAAAAGCTGTTGAGGTAATGCTGATTGTTTCTCAATCTTTCAGCACAAAAATCTGATTCCAGTTCTGATGTACGTAGAGGTTGATATATTTTGCACAATAGTGAATTACGTTTTTGTAATTCTGCAATTTGCTTTAAGTAGAGGTTAGTTAGATTTTTGTTTACATATGCAAAAATAAACCATCTGTACTTGCATCACATCCAGTCAGAGGCGCGCTATTGTGATATTCGAGAGATTTATTGAGCATCAGATTTTATGTCAATGTTGTACAGCCCTAGTGTTTTTCAACCTAATCTCTAATTAAGCATCTACCCACTGGCTTCTATGACTCAATGAGTTTTCTGTTCTTTTACTAAGTACAGTGAAATAGGCTTAAATTATTGTCTGAGGTAATCAGCAATACGCCGCAGATGTTGAAATTAGGCCTAAAATACGCTGGAGTATTCCTTTAAAGCAAAAATGTACAAGCCTCTGGCCATTGGCATCTGTTATGTAAGTTCTGAGTCAATGAGTCCTCTGCTCTTTTACTAAGTACAGGAAATGCATCTGACTTCTTGTCTGCGGTGACTGACCATTGCTACAGATGCAGCATATAGCGATTTTGTTGAAAAATGCTGGAGTTCCCTTTAAAGGAGAAATTCACAAATAATTTCTGAATGGAAAAAGTACTCCAGTATTCTTCAACCTAATCTCTGCTTCAGCATCTGTCCACCGGCTTCTATTATGCGAGTTCTGAGTCAATGGTTTTCTGTTGATTCGTTAAGTGCAGGGAAACACATCCAACTTACTGTCCATAACAGCTGACCATATGTTACAGATGCAGCAGATAGGCAGAAAAACACTGGAGTATTCCTTTAAAGCAGAAATGTTCAACAATCTCTGAATGGAGAATTTCTTTCTCCCTCCAAATGAAAAGAAGAAGTCTTCCATAGTTTCGTCCGTGTTAACCAGAGGCTCTGCCCTCAACATTACAAGCCATTAAATTGAATTCAGCCCACCAACCAGGATCGGCCTCGATCTAATCTGCTTTAAAGCAGGAGGTCAGAACCCACCACTGCTGCGCCGCAAGAGACAAATGAAGAGTGGCATAATATGCTGATCACTCTTTTCTTCAGCGAACACTCAACACAACAGAACGGGAAGACTATTTGTGCAGCCCTTTACCCACTGGCTTAGGAAGATCGTCTGAGATAGTGGCTCTAGACGGAGCGATGTACATAAGAGCTTTGATCTTCCATCACGTTTGTGTCACATAAGAAATCATTTGAAAAGCGCTTCAAGTATAGTAAATGAATAAAATATTCATATCAAAGCGAGGGGGGGGGGTTCATTTTCTGTATGCCAGATTTTCAGTAAACAACCATCTGAGAGCGCTGGGATCGGGGACCAAACAAGAAAGCAGGAGTGTTTGGTGCCCTCTGCTGGTGAGAAGCGTCAGTGCTCTGAATTCAGACCCGTTTCCATAATTCATTCCCCTGTTTGGGTTTTAAAGAACACTGTGGAGCCAGAATAACAGTTATGTACAGCTTCCATCTAGGCTTCTTCTTCTAAATGTGGCATTAGTGCCCTGGAGCATCATTATACCAATTCGAGTCATTTTGTTAATTAAAAATTAAGCAGGCCAAACTGCTTTTGGTACACAAGTGTAAAAAGCTGGTGTGCCACTTCTGGAAGGCTGCAAATTCAGCCACCATGTCCTGTACTGTAAAAAAAATTATAATACATGCCAAATAAATGTCAAAATAATATGTTAGGACTCCATAAAGTGCTTTTTTTCAGCTGACAACAAAGCAAGGAAAACAGTTCTTTCTGAAAATGTGGCTCTTCTTAAGCCTAAAAACTGGACAATTACTGGACACTTCCGAAGGCACACTAATGGACGGTCAACAGTGGACGCACTGTGATTCCCAAAGCGTGCGACGTGGCCGTTCACCTAGCGAAACCTCTATGTTCAGGCCATTACAGAGAGGAAAAAAACATACAGCATGCAGAGCTCCCGCAGTGGCTTAAAATAACCCAATCTTTCAGCCGGGCGAGCGGGCCCAGCGGGCTGCCTCCCAGAGACGCCTCTTTATTTACTGCCACACGGAGCACAGCGAGGCGAGGCGGCCGAGGCTGTGACTGTCTCGGCACAGGGAGCCACTGGATTACTCACGTAAGCCTCGCGCATACTGTCAGGCATGGGACAGAAACAAATACGCACTGCCATCCACGGGGCACTATGATTTGCCAATTAGGCCAGCAGCAAAGGGGACGGTCGAGGGCATTGAAGAACCGGCTGAGGGGAGAAAGAGAGGGAGAGTGAAAGAGAAACCATTGGTCCAAAGAAGAGCAACACACTCTGACAAGAACCAAGGTGGCAGCTCATCCAGAATCAGGGTCCCATTACCCAAATCCCACCCTTCCTGCTCAAGTGATCTCAACAGAAAATACCAAGCTGTAGGACAAACTTGGGAAATTTAAACTGTCCCTCCTCTCCATCCTTCGTACAAATAGGCTTTGCCAGATTTTAAACCAGGTTTTCTGCCATTTTTGTGAAACTACTTGCAGGGTTTTTTCACCTTCCAGGGCTGTTGTGTCACATCCTTGACTGGAATCTGGATTCAGATTCCTGGATGACTGAACGAATCTCTCTTGGATCTTGAAGTCATTAAACTAAACAAATCTGGAGGTGACTTTATTATGCACTCTTAGCATGAAGGGTTCTGTAACATACCAAAAAAGGGTTCTTTGGCTTGTAACATTGGTGGAACCCCTTTTCAAAAAGAGTTATATATAGGAACCATTTAAAATACATTCTCCATCAATCTGAACAACTCGTTTACAACCGCTTTAAGCATGCAAAAGGTTCTTTGAGTATTCATGGTTCAATATAGAACCATTTTCTTTACCCAAGAACCCTTGAAGAACCATCTTTTTTAAGAGTGTAGAGGTCTAGTTCGTCTCCAGGCCACAAAATAGCCCCAAGTGTTTGCCTTTTCCCACACAAGGGCTGTGCTGTTTTCTGAGCTTCCTCACAGTCTTCCTCGGCTCCGACTGCATCTTATACACACCCACAACTTGTCACACAAAAATGTGCCTTGTTTTTGCATTTCGTCGCTGTCCAAAGACAAATAAGTATCTCCAAAACTGTAAGCAGAAACACTCTTTACTTTTAATGTAAGTTAATGTAAAGAGATTTTACTATAAGCAGTTGTGGAGCATTTCTGTTGGCCCATTCATTATGAACATTTCACAGCTACTCAGCTCAAATTATGCAAAAAAACAAAAACTGCAAAAAAATTAAGGTACTTGGGTTCTTCGGATATTGATGTTTTGCTTTCTTAACCAATTTCCCAGGTTAATTTTACAAATTGACAAAAAGAAAATGAGTGTCCACATCTTGGTTGTCACACATTTAGCCAGAGACAGCCACAAAGTACAAATCTAACAACATGTTCAGGTTTGAAAAGACTGTGTTTAGCACTTTTCAGGAGCAGTATTTACTTATTAACACTTATTCTGGCAAACCCAAACTTAAGGAGACACCAGAAAAGAGTATTTCTGACAGAAAATGACCAACTAAGTCACTTCACAGAACTCAAGCTATCACCAAAAGGCAGCCACACGCTGACTTTTACCTCAACACGCTTCATTCACTGACATTTATCACGTTACAAACCTGGGAAACATCTCAATTTTAAGCGGAATTCACTTGAGGAAACTCACTTTCCACTCTTCTCAGGAGCTGAGAGGCTCAGTCCTGGCTCCTCAGCTCCTCTTAACGTTTAATAACACGAAGAAAAACCTTATTTCCTCTCTTTGCTAAGCCATGTTCGCCTCATGTATGATTCATGGAGGTTCAGAGCATCCAAGCCTGCACTTTAGCCAACAACCACAGGACCCTCAGCTGAAGCCCTCAGCCGTTAACTCGCCGTTAAAGGGCGCCCTGCTTACCTTCGTTCTCCGGGTAACTCCGTAAGGCTCGACTCGGTTTGAGGGAAGGCAGGAGGCAGAAAAGGAGGGACGGGTAAATCCAGAGTGGTGCCATTTTTCAGGCTGCGCCGGGAGCCCGCTGCATCCCCTCTCTCTCTCTCACGCTCTCTCGCTCTCGCTTTCTCTCGCTCTCTCGCTCTTTCTCCGCACAAAGTTGCTGCGCCTCCCGCCTCAGCGCCGAGCCGAGTGAGGAGCAGGAGGAGAGGGGGCGGGGCCGAGCGCCCAGGCTGTCAATCATCCGCGGGCTGCCAGGGAAACGGAGGATGAGGGGACCAATGGGGGTGAGGGACGCGTTCGCGCTTTTTTAAGGCGCTGAGGCACGCGCGATGAAGAGCTCGACCGCCGCTGTTTTCTGTTTTTTTTTAAATGGAGCGCGCGCCGTGTTGACCGTTAGCGAGTTTCAACTGTAGAAAAATGCACAAAAAATAAAACGAAATAAAAAATAATATAATATATTATATAAAATAATACACAGTTGTTGACCACAGTAAATAAGCTTTAACTTAAAAGCTTTGAGACTTTGGTAACAAAATGGATTTTTTTTAAACTGCTTTTTTAAGCAAGCTAAAAATGTGCCTGTTTTTAGCAAATCATTGACTACAAAAAATCGTAGACTGGCTTTTCGATTAACCATGTTAAGGCATGTTCAGCAGCAGACATAATGGCAACAACATAAAATATGATCAAATTTACACATTTTCACTACATTGTTTAAGCTATACTTAATAATACTCCCAATAAACAACGCTTCCACCGAGAAATGCAGTTCTATTATATATCGCTGTCAGAATAAAACCTTATATCTCCTTTCTTGTCATTTTTCAGTTTTTTGATTTGATTTTTCAGTTTGAAAATGTTGCCCTTTGCATTGTATGTAAATTTCATGGTGAATAGACCAAAAGAAACGACCAAAGATTGCTTGAAAAAAAAGTCTGGTTCCATTGACTTACATTAAAAGTAAAGTATGTTTTTTCCTGCTCCTGTAAAGTTATCATTTTTGAGATATGAGGTTTCGTTCCGACAGCTAGCGGTATGCTATTGTTGCCAAGCAAGACTGGAACTGTTGTTTATAATTGTCCATTGCAGTCATTAATGAACTTTTTCCATTTTTGTCCGATAATAATGGTCATATCACGATATCGCAGTGTTTAATGCAGGAACTTACAAGTTATATGTATGCTTTGTTCACCAAATTACCACCATAACAACAATGCTAATGCTCGCTAGCGCCTTTATGTGATTTCCTGTGTTTTCTAACATAAGGTTCAATACTTAAGGCAAATTTTTGAAGCTTGTAAGATGTTTTTGCAACATATTCTTTACTTTTTTACTTTCTATTTTGCTGTATTACAGTGAAACATTCAGTGCTCCATGTTAGCATGTTAGCAAGCCTTTCACATCACAGTGTTTTTAGTGACTTAGCTCATTGAGACAGTATTCAGTTGTGGTGAGGTGGTCATAGTTTGGTTATATCAAACGTTTTGCACATTTTTGGACCGAAACTATCTGTTTAATACTTTTGATCACAGTCCTGTGTACATGAGATCACATAAACTACAATAACATGAGCTAGAAGACAGTTCTTCTGAAAAAGAACCTAAAAAATAGTGTTTCTCAGTATTATTTGATCTTTTCATCACCTTTTCTTGACATTTGGCAGATATTCAGAAGCACATTCTGCTTAGTTTTTAATTAAATTATACTCACATAAAAGATTTTCCACAGAAAATCCCTCATAGTCTGGGATTAGGATTAAAATAATTAAGATTTTCATTAAACCTCAGCTCTATTGAGCTATTTATGTGAAGACAGAGTCAAGGAACAGGTGTGCTCGGCCTCTATCTCTCTCTCCCTTTAACCAAATAATGGGCAAAAACAAAGTAGGCCTCCTGTTTGCCCTGGAAGTAATTAATTGCTGTCATTTTAGGCGCAAGGTCTTTATCTCCTTCAGACTAGCGGCCAGGCTAGCTTAAGCTTCTCCGCCGCAGCGCATTTAGGAAAGCCGCACTTCCTCGCTCAGCCTGGGATTTGCTAAAGTGTCCAATTAAGACGGAGCTTTATAGTGAACGCAGGCTGCTCCCTGATGACCTAATTTCCCCACAGAGTGAGGTTTGGAGGGGGAGAGGAGAAAAGGTTGCTTTCCCGACCATGAGGCTACATTCATTCACTGACAAAACCCTGCTCTGTCACGCATTCCGCTGCCAACTGCATGACGTGGCCCCTTAAGCCCTGTCACAACCACCTCCAGCCCTGCCGCTGATGGGTGTGTGTGGGGATGGAGGGAGCAAGTGAATGTGTATAAGAGGGGATATAGATTCAAAACACTAATGTGTACAGTACCATGCAAATTTCCAGTCAAAACAGGTACTAAGTACAGGTTATTCCTTTGACCTTTCGATTAGATACACTTGCATAAGGAAGGTGAAAGTCAAAGGAAAATAAGTGAAATAGCAGGAGTTTCCAACTGGAGGTCATTTAAAAGGTATGGAGACTCTTAACAACCACCTGGAAGACCAGGTAGGCATCCAAAACTATGGGTCTGAAAGGATGTGTAGCTGCCAAGATGCCTCAAAAGGAGACAGACACATTAAACAAAGAAGCTGCTGGTGCTCTCAAAACAATGGACCGACCTCACCAGAGTCCAGACCTCAAAATCCTTGAATGTGTTTGGGATTACTCGGACAGTGAGGGGCTGAAATTGCAGCCAACTTCTAAGACTGAACTTTAGAGGTGTGGCTGCAGATTCCTTTGAAAAACTGAAACCGAGGCTCCTGAAAAGAATGGAAGCTGTAACAAAAGCAAAAAGGATACTAAACACTGAAAAATCTGACATTATTTTTAATTGAAGTGTAAATTTCTGTTAAATATATGGTTTTCTGCTTATTTCCTGATGCTGAAAAATGAATAACCTTTGACTTTGACTAGTAAATAAATGAAGGGTGGTCCCTGACAGCGTTGCATGCATGTATGATGAGGTGTAAAGTCACCACGGGCCCTTTCAGATGTAAATGTCTGGGGTGGGTTCAAATAAACCTGTTGAACAATGAACAATGTAAATTATGTGTGTTCTTCTTCTGCTGTTCATTATGCATATGGCCATTAGAGGAGGATATTGAGCTGCTGATGTAAAGCACAGCTTCCTTGTGACTGCCGCTGTCGGCACTTTTAGCCTATCCCTTTTACGTATACACACATTTTGAATAGTATTACTATCTTTATGGGGACTTAATGTAAGACTTCAGATCTATATAGCAAAGTGTATCTAAAGCTTCCAATCACCCTAAACTTAGTGACCAAGAAGATATTTTTAAAATGCATTGTCCTCTTAAGGCCTGGTAAACATGTCAGAATTGTCTTCTTTTCCTACTCTTTGGTTCCCATTGTGTCAGTACAGCAGAGCACTCTCACACATTTTGGGCCTTCATCATCACATACTGGATACTCAGGGGCCACATAGTAATATAGTATTTCTATTGCATTCTGTATAAGTGTAGCAACATGCCAGGCATTTACATAGAACCCAGAAAGGGCTTGATCTCCTGCACTTTTACCCTCAGACTGTACAAGTACCTTCTTGGTCAGCTTGTATAATAATTGTATTGTGTATGTTTAAGGCCCAGGAAGAAAGCTCCACAAGCTTCATTGCTCTTGGTTGCCCCCTCTGGTGCAGAACCAGCACCTATTGAAATTTCAACGGAGTAACTCTGGCCCCACAGATACATTAATCACAGCACTGGAAATCCCTCTGATAATCTATTTATGTAAGTGTCACATTGCATTCTGTGGTAGTTTTAACAATTACTAAACAATCAACAATAAGAGAAGCTAATATCTTGTTAAACCAAGTTTCTGTTATTGTGAAAAACAGGGGTTCTGCTGGCCTCTGTAGTGCTTTTAAATAGAGATGCAACTCCAGGGTTCATAGATCTCCATCCTTGTAGACTGGAGATCAAATCCCAGACTGGGCTTGCTAAGTGCTGCTATTCAATACCTAACCTAGGGGGTCGGCAACATGTGGCTCCGGAATATGCCGGTCTTTTACTGCCCTGTTGCGGCTCCACAGCAGAATTAGATTTTTAGGTAAGAAATAAATAATCCTCCTTTGCAGTAAAATAAAGCTCTGCTGATCATTTAACACAGTTTTAACAATAAATGATCTTAAAGGCTGGAGTTATATGTATAACTGAAGCTCACACAGCGACACAGACAACAATCTTAGCTAGTGGCTAATGAAAAGACAGAGAGAGATTTAAGGCAAATATCGATAATTTGTAGACGAATGGACTTATAAACATTTATAATCACTCCAGCTGGTTTCCTGATATATTTAATCTGCAACGAGAAACTGACAAACACTAAAAAGTCACAAAGTTCCACCTTAAATGGTGCAGCAGTTACATTATGGCGCTTCAGGCACCATTTAAGGTCAAATGGGAAATTAAGACAAGAAGCTGACGAATGAGAAGCTGATTTCAGCCTCATAAGACGTCAAATGTTAAGAGTCATTTCACAAGAAACTATTCTACTTTTGCAGAAAAGTTTCCTGATGGAGATGTGAGAAAAGCAGCTATAGCTGAGCTAAAGCTTAAAGCAGAGCAAAGTAAGTCTGTGTTTTCATTTATATTATATTTTTTAGCCTATCCTAATACATCAGCACATACTGAGACATATTTACAGCCAAGATGGTGAAACGTTACTTCCATAAAATGGATATAAAATGTTCTGACTCCCAAGGTGGTTGGATTTTTGTTGAAACTTGACAAAATGGCTCTTCTTCCGTTTTAGGCCAAAATCTTCTCTCAAAATCATCCCAAGCATCACTCAGAGCATTTGTAGCTATTTCATGTAATAACTTTCTATGAGGGAGCTTTTGGAGGCATTAAACTCTTCAGCGTCTGGCTCCTATCACCATCACTGTGAAAAAGTCTGACTCTTTAGTTTCTCTAGAATGGAGTATTTCATATCAAACAACTTCGAATGACTTTGTTCACATCTTAACCATTTAATTATGCAGAAATTTTGAAAAATAGTTGGGATTCCTCCTTAATAACAATGGAAATCTTTGGGCTCTTTTGGCTTGCAGCATTTCTCCTCATAGAGGTCAGCCAGACATCCCCACTTCACATAGTTTCATGTTTTGCATCATCCTAGGGGGATTGCAGGAGCTAAATGCGTGGC